CTTCAGAATGAGTGCAGTGCGCATACCATGATGCATTTGTACACAGGCCAGTGGTCATGCATATTGTCTGTTTGTTGCTAGGGGTTTGGTACTGTGGTTGTTAAAAGTGCAGTTCTTTTAGCTGTAAAAAGCACAATATAGCCAAATTAGGAAATGCCATGTGACTGGCTCTTGGCCAATCAAGACACAGAAGCTGTGGGTGAGGTGTAAAACAGACCAATTGAGTGGTAATTACCTGGTGTCTTTTTACCAAATTCTAGACCCACTTTTTCCTTCTTATTACATTTGTATTTTTCTAGATTGGATGTTTTCGATGATTTTTCTTATTAGGTTATAATCAGCCTAAAGCAGTGATTAGCAATAGCCTCGTCTTTGCTGTTAATCAGGGAAGAAATACCAGTGGATGAGTTGGCATCAGTTCTCATATTTTGTTCTCATTATTTCGCTAGACGAGATCGGAGATTATGATTTTACTTCACCTACTGTAGTTCTATTCTCAGCATTCTAACTTTCGTGATGCTGGCTGAAAATCTACAGTATTTTGTTTCCCTAAACTACAAGTGATATTTTTTTATTTTGCCTGTCATGCCAAGCACAAAGTATCGAGAACTAAATGAAGTATTCTCGTCATGTTTTTTATCAAATTTTATTCCTGTATCTTGTTTCAGCAGATAATCTACATGTTTGTGTATATAAGAAGGTTAATCAAGGTAAGAGGTTGATGAGGTTGTTGTTACTTGTGAGTGTTGTCAGCATTTCAGTTATGGCGGGGTCTTTGTGTTATGGAGGGCGTAGGTAGGTGTGACCCCTCGCACCCGGCACTGGTAAGGGTCCCTCACCAGTGAGTTCTACCGCACAGAAGTTGGAGAGGAAAAAAAATCTTTGTTTAGCTTTCAACTTGTTATTTTTCGTGAGCAAACCGCAAGTGATGAAAGTTTACATTTGCTGACATGTCAGGCTTGTTTTTGCTTTGAATGTTTTTTGTTTGGTCGTTCAGCCTTTGGCTTTTGGGTTTGAAAAGTTTATTCAGAGATGCTGCCTTGTGTGGGAATGGTTGAAATCAGAGAAGTTATTACTGTGGATTGTTAAGATTATGACTTTCTCATCGGAATTTCTTCTTTTTTTAGGGAGGTGGTGCTTTTGCATCTGCGTTGTTGCTTTGGCGGTTTTGTTTTGAAGCATGTTTAAATCCTTATACATTGTATTTCTTTTCCCACTTATTATTTTGGCTTAGACTCAAACGAGGAGATGTGATAACTGCGGCGGCATTCGCGCGCATGTTCTCAACCCTGACGCGTGCTCGAATTTGGCTATTGGACAAGACGGCTCCCTATCCGCCCTGAGCAGGAGCACCCCCTCATCGGCTGAAAAAAAAAACTGTGTTGGTCAGGAGCGCTCATTTTGTTGGTAGCGATGCGCAGTTACTACAGTTACTTGGAAATTGCGCCCTCTCTTGGTCCAGCTCGGAGCCCACGGTGGAAGAGGTACTCAACGCACGCGCACCGCTTGCATGCGAGCGCGACACCGCAGTCATAGCCTCTATTTGGGGGCATTGGATTAGGCTACATGATATTCTTTTGCCAAGTTGTGTATATTCTGATGAAATGTTGGGTTCGTCCCATTGCAGTTAATAATTCGCTACATTTGGCCCACTGCATGTTTTGTTTACCACTTGTGTTTTGTTAAAAATAGCATTTTGGAAAGATTTATTTGTATCTTTTATTGTGTTTTGACACAACTTATTGTGCATTGTTGTACAGTCTTGAAATGTGAGCAGTATATTTCTTAAATCCCAATATTCTTATCCTTTTTCGGTGAAAGTTTCCAATAAAATGCCTCCGCGTGTATGTACATACATGTGGTTCAAGATTTGAAAGTGTTCCTTCAATTATGTTTGGTAAAGTTCGGACTTGCCAAAGGAATGACAGTAGGACTGTTAAGATATGGGGTTTCGAAGAATTCTTTCATCTCTTCTGCACTCTGCTATTGTAATTTGCATGATTTTCACTGATGCTGCCCAAATTTCCGATCCGCGTACATACGATCAACTGGCGGGAAAGTAAATCCAGGGCTCAAATCAGAACACCTGCTGTCCTGGAAAGGTGTCGGCGGTCAAATTTACTTACGGAACCCGTGAAAGCCGAAGCCTGATCAATAACGTGTAAAAGTAGCTGAGTATGCGATTGATTTCCGTTGGCATTTACACGCTCATTGTTAACATTTACCGGGATGGCACGTGGGAAATGGAGTTCATACTAAAATTCCAGCAGACAGAGCGGAAAGTCGACTTCAAAATCGATAACCGCGAGCCGCAATTTTTATTTTTTAATCCTCAAATTTGCCTTAGCACGGAAATTGGTAACATCGAAATCGGGTGAATTTCAGCATCTGATTCAAGATACGCCCTTTTTGAAACGATTGGTACATGGAGTTTGTTTTGTGTGATGCTCCGGCCATAGTGTGTAGGACCCCAGATACTTTCAGACTTAGGCCTGTTCGAGGTCACCGAGGAGACATCGATTCTCACGCGTGAGTTCTTTAACTTCAGCGCGCGTGCTTTGGCAAGTCGCAACACCCTATTGGTCAAAGAGGTGTTGAGCGCGCGCGTACCACCTGCTCACGGGCATTACGCGACCACACAGTAATGGTTTTAATCTTGTTCCGGATGAGCATATAGCGAGGAAGGAAAAGGTTGGGTCATTTCTTATCATTTGGACTCGTGCTGGTTTTTTTGGCGTTTGTATAATGCTCCGTAACCCACTGGCTCATGCACTAAACTAAAAGAGCTCACTTGTAACCAAGGGGTATTATAGGTAAGGGTCTTATTGACGTCACAAGGAGGCATGGGTGTAGATCCTGGGGATAGGGGTATTAGGCTTATTCCCCTGACACACACTTTTTGAGGTGGAGTGATGGGCTGTCACATCACCCCCCCCCCCACACACTTTTTGTTTCGAGCAAACAAAGAAGATTGTCACGAATTTTTCAGACTTCCCAACGACTACAATGTATTCAAAATCACTCAGAAGTAATCGATAACGTGGGCCCGGCCCGCAATGCACCCACAAAATACGACACGCTAATCGCTATGAGGGAGGTATCGGAC